GGACTTTTTTGTATAAGCCAGGCCTTTTGTTTGTTTTTATGGCACAGATGGTCTTTATTGGTGACAGTGGGATGGGAGAGAAGGGGTAGATTGCTTCTGAGGTGGTGTTCAGCATCAGAGTCTTTAAGTCTCAGTCAGCCCTTTGAAAGCTGTTGAAGCCAGATTTTGAGGCTACGTTTGGCACATTTTGAGAGTAGTGGCAGTTTATCCCATGTTGGTTATTAACCCAAGAATAGGCTATCAGTGTTAAAAAAGTCCATATCCAGAGATTGAGGTAGGTTGCCTGATCCTTTGGTATTATAGCTTATACCATCCTCTTGACTCTATCTCTTTGAATCCTGCACCCTAGGATTTCTTTTTTTTTTTACTTGTGATTTGGTTAAATGAATAAACAAAACTGTGTTATACTAACACAGTAAAATAATGTTCAGCTATAACTTGAAGTGAAAAAAGCCAGGCACAAAAGTTCACATTATTTATTTATTTATTTATTTATTTATATTGGGGTTTGGGTGGAAATTTACACAGCAAATTGGTTTTCTGTTTAACAACTCACACATTCATTTTTGTGACATATACTGCAATCCCCATACTGTAACAGCACTCTTTTCCCACTTCCTCCCTGTGCCTACCCCTCCTCTTTCTTCCTCCTTCCCATCCCCTCCCACCTTCCTAGCTCTGTCCCTGGACAAATGCTGTCCTCTTGATTTCATATGCTTGATTTCATATTTCAGAGTGATATTACTTCGTCTTATAGGCCTGTCTATCATTTGGCTGTCAGCTGAATCATGGGGATAAACTTCAGTTCCTAGCTTGGGGGTGTCTAAGAGCCATAACCTCATGATTCTACCAGTCTTCATCAGACCAGTAAGCCTGGTCTTTTTTATGATTTTGAGTTTTTTCCCACATTTTTCCCCACTCTATATAGGACTTCTTATTATGATCCCTTTCAGAGCAGTCAGCAGTGGTAGCCAGGCACCATCTAGTTCTTCTGGACTCAGGATAGTGGAGGTGTGGTAGTGAATTACTTGGTATGGCTTTTCTAGCCATAGTCTTTGTAACTCTCATCAGGTTACAGGGTGGGACCATGCAAATAAAGTGTGTAGAACTCTCATGTGAGGATTGGTTAGTTTTGCTATGCTGCTGGCCTTAAAATGAACTTTCCTAGAAGCAGAGAAGGATTCTCATGCCATCAAGAGAGAACTGGAGGTGAAGTAGAGTGCATTCTTGGACCTGAGATCCGAGCACTGGATCTGCTTGGCTGAGAGATGATCAGCAGAGAGACACTCAGCTAAGAGACAGCAGCAGTGGAACCAAGAGGCAGGAGACAAAGCAACAGACTTTCTGACCTACAGAGTGAAAAAGCTGAGTGCTCTTGGGCAGAAGACTTGTTGGTAGAGTGGGGTGCATGTAGCTGTACCTTCTAAAAGAGCTTGGTAAAACTTGCGTGAGCAGGGCAGAGGCCAAGGGCCAGAGAGGCGTGCCTGAAGGCATAGCAGAGGAGAGACTGTCCTAATTGAAGAACTGTATCCTGAGCATGTTCCTGAACCTGACTTGTAGCCTGTTACTTCCCCCATAAACCCATAGTTGTGAGTATTGTCTATGAATTCTGTGTGTCCTTTACAACAGATTAGTGAACCCAGCAGAGAAGTGGTGAGTGCCAGAAGAGGGACAGTTAGTGAGAAAATTGGTTGGTGATGACATGTCTGGCCTTATAGGGATAAGCGTTAGGCTGTTGATGGTGACTCTGTTTCCCCCTTGTGAAGTTACAGGAGGTTAGAAGATACTGACCCCATGCCCTTTTAACAGGAGCCTGGGGTTTATATGCTCCATTAGTCCTTTGGACTAATTGTCTCCTGTGTCTTTGATTCTCTTCACTCTTCTTTACTCCAGATTGGGAGAACCCAATAGTTGCACCTTAAATGGTCACTCACAAGCTTTTAAGACCCCAATTGCAACTCACTAAAGTAGTTTGTAGAACATTGTCTTTGTGGACTGTGTGATGCTAATTGGTATTAGGTTCCCCCAAGATGATGGTCCTGAGCCTCCACACCTAGCAACTCATTCCCTCTAGGTGTTTGGTTATGACAAAGGTGTTTTCATAACTTTGACCCTGGTATGTTCTACTATATTCATGGATATATTTGCACCATATGTAAATACATAGGTAGAGATAGCCTCTGTCAAACCTACATGTATTCCTGGATATAGTCCTGTTTGCCTTCCTACCCCTGTTCATATTGAATGTCTGTCTATGCATCCACTCATAAATTATTGTTATTACTATTGCAGAATTGGTATGTACTAGTTTTCACCTTTGTTTCCTTTAATTCTTGTGCTCCTCCCTATATCTTCCACTGCCTTGATCATTACTGTCTACTGTCTTTTAGCGATTGTTCCTCCCTTCCCCTCCCACCCCTAGTAACTTTCAAAGAACAGTTCTTTCTTAACTTCTTATGTTAGTGGTCTCATACAATAATTGTACTTTTGTGATTGACTGTTGTCACTCAGTATAATGCCCTCTAGTTTTGTCATATTAGGAGGTGTTTTGCTGATTCATCATTGTTCTCATTGTTTTTTAACATTGCGTAGTATTCCATTATGTTTATGTAACAGTTTATTTATCCATTCAAACCCTAGGATTTCTTAGAAGACTAAATAAACTAGCACCAGAACCCCTTCATACATACCTGACAAATAAAAAAGAGTCTGGTTTATATGAAGTTTATAGTGGCAAATGGTATTCTGTGAATGAATGTAAGAAATGAGTATTAAAATTCAGTCTGGCTTATGCACCACTGACTCAAAATATATCAGCTCTAATAAATAAGGTCTTAACACCTGCCTTGTGTTCCACAGACACTTGGCCCAGCTTCCAAAGCTTGCTGCATCTGTCACATTTGGTTGACAACCAGGGTGGATTCATAATATAGCCATTTACCTCCCTGAAATAATAAAGGAAAATATTGAGAGCCAGAATATAAACCTGTTGAGTCTGGGAGGAGAGAGCCATAGACTCCCATATGAAATATATCTACTAAATAAATACTCAGAAGGAAGGTTGGGCAATATACTTCTGTAGTGATACCACCTCGGAAACCCAAGGAAGGGGTTGCTATGAGTCAGGTCCAACTCGAGGGCACATAACAGCAACAACAAATAAATACTACTAGATGGCAGGTAAACTAGAGATTGAGACATGTTTTCTAAAAACTACTAGTTTGTCAGAAGTTCTTGTTTCAGGAGTCCATTTTCTGCTTTATGAGATAGAATAGGTCTGTCATGTATTGTATTGTGTCTTCCAAAAATATGTGAATTTGTCTAGGCTTTAATGCTCAGTATTATGTAATTATCCTCCATTCTGTGATCTGATGTAATTACCCTGTATGTTGTAAATCCTAACCTCTATGATATAAAAGAGACAAGATAAGAGGTAGTTAATGTTAATTTGGCAGGATGTAATCTACAGCCACTCCTCGGAAGGAAGGTTGGGCAATCCTACTTCCGTAGTGATACTTGCCTCGGAAACCCAAGGAGGGGTCGCTATGAGTCAGGTTTGACTCGATGGCACATAACAACAACAACAATTTACAGGATTAGGTTGTAATTTAAATCAGTCTCTCTTGGGATATAAAAGATTAAACATCAAGCAGAAGTCAGAACAAAGAGCCAGGAGTAGAGCTTGTCTTTTTTATCTGAGGTCCCTATGCTAAGAACTTCCTAGACCCAGGGCAAGATTGATGCCCAGACACATGGAGATTGCCAGGGAACTTTGAGCCCACAGATGTTGAATGAGACAGGAACTTTCCCCCAGGGCCAACAGAAAAAGAAAGCCTTCCCCAGAACTGGTACGTTGAATTCAGACTTACAGCCTCCTAAACTGTGAGTGGATAAATTTTTTGTTAAAGCCATCTGCTTGTATTATTTCTACTGTAGTAGCACTAGATAAGACAAGGTCCAATAAAATAAGGATTAAAGCTTCTTTCATCCCATTTCACATAAAGCTTTTCAAGGCAGTCTGTGTAATTTGAGCCAATTGGTAGTGACTTGCATTAGTGTCTAACCTTTCCTGGTATCTGCAATCCTAGAATTTTCCTTTGTTGAGGTAAACAGGCTTCCACAGATGAGTCAGGATGAGTTTGTTGTAGATCCTGTATAAAATGGATATAAATAGTACCTAGCTTATAGAATTGTTATAATTGAGTTAATGAATATAAAACACTTAGAATAAGACACAACATGGACTGTTGTTGTTATGTGCTGTCGAGTCGGACCCGACTCATAGCGACCCCTCCTTGGGTTTCCAAGGCAGTGTCACTATGGAAGTAGATTGCCCAACCTTCCTTCTGAGGAATGGCTGGTGGGATTGAACTGCCAGCCTTCTGGTTAGCAGTCAAATGCCTTAGGCACTACGCTACCAGAGCTCCTCAACATGGACTAGTGGTCAGTAAATTTAAGGTATCACATCATTGTTTTCATAACAATGTTACGAGGATTAAGTTTTTTTGGCCCAGTTTTAGGATGAACACAGTCATCACCAGGGCATCAGTAAAATGAAAGTAACTGCAGTCAGAGGACTAAGGCATGCTTTAGACTGTGTACTATCCTTCCCTAGCCATCCTTGAGGGCAAAGAAGAACTTTGTATTCAGCTAGCTAAAATGGGAGAAAGTTCCACGAATTATATAAAGCGTTTGGATCTCCAGGAAAAGTCGACCTGGAGTCTAACACTAGACCTGACAGTGTTTCTCCTTTCTGTCACTGCCTCTGCTTTCAACTTCAACTCTGCCCACCTCTCGCCATCCTATTTTTTTTAACTAGCTGTTCCTGCCTCAGCTCATTTCCTTTTACTACTAATCCTCAACCAAGCCACTGTTGCCAGGGTTTCCTATGATTGGTTCATTATCTTCCATTTATCAGCTAAACAATCTTATTACATGGGCAAAAATGAATTTAAAAAATTTAATATGACTTCTTGTTTCTGATTTTTTTTTCTTCCTAGTTTCGAGTATTTACAGCCCCTTTCCATAAGGTAGGCTTTGCTGATTTCTGGCTGGCTGATCAGCTGAACAGCCTGTCAGTGATACTGATGGACCTGGAATATATGATTTGCTTCTACAGTTTTGAGCTCAAATGGGATGAAAGTGGGGGCCTGTTGCCAAATAATTCAGAAGGTAGGAGTAAGAATGTTCACGCTACTAAATTTCCAGTGTAAACCAAGAAATACTGAGAATGGTGACTGAGAAATTTAAGGTTATGATAAAAATGCATCCAATAGTACTGAAAACTTAATTAAATGTGCTTGGCACTCATAGCAGCTTCTTTATCTGATATAATTTGGCTCTTAAATTATGTGTTATGATTTTACCATCCATTTGCCAAGAGATTTACAACTTACACTTAAAGAATCCTCAAACTAAAACTAAGGAAAAAAAGTTCTAGTGCATTGGTAGTTGTATCACAGATGCTTTAGTGCCAATCATTTGCCATCACAATATTGCTTTATAATATTACATAGATGCCAGTGATCAAAAATGCTGACTTTAGACTCACACCAGTGCTTTGAGAAAGTCTTTGTAATTATTTTTTTAATTCTTATTTGGTACCTAGTTTTTCTTCTGGTTCTTTTTCCCACTTTCAGCTTGTGCCAATAGTTAAGGTTATAAAGGAATTTTACTGTAATGATAAAAAATGTAATTTAGACAAATTATTTAACAACTGACTAAAAGAATTAATTCAGTGCTGACACATTTTCATTGATTGCTAGAGGATTATAACTTTATTGTATTATAGATTGATTGATCACACTATTGTTGGTTGATCACACCTTGATACGTTCCTAGAATTCAGAGATTAATTGATTTATCAACTCCATTTTTTCTCATTTAAAAACATGAACTTCATTTCTTCACCAAAAAGCAGACAAGTTGAACAACCTATAGTGAGTATATTATGTATTATAGTGGTTTGGAGTTCATGAAATTTGTGATATTTGTAGGTTTTTCAGATGTTTGAAATTACAGACAGTGGTTAATGCCTTAAGCTGCTACTAAAAGGTTGGCAGTTCAAACCTCTTGGAGCTGCTGCTCTGCAGGAAAAAGATGAGGCAGTCTGCTTCCATAAAGATTTACAGCCTTGGAAACCCTGTGGGGTGGTTCTACTCTGTCCTATAGGGTCGCTGTCAATCAAAATCGACTCAGTGGCATTGGGTTTGGTTTTTGGTTTTCAAATTACAGAGCCAACCTCTGTATCAGTACAGTTTTTTTTTTCCCTTTTGATTATTAGATGCTAATCTTCCAACTTCTGTGTAGTTTTATCACAGAGAAAGTGATTACAGAGCAGATCAGTAATCAAAAACTTGAGAGGGCAACTTTTCCCACTAGTCCCCCCATGCGTCTTCTCCCCTTGCTTATTTATCTACCACTAAAAAATTGAGAATGGTTCTAAAGAAGTAAATGATTCTGAAACCTAGTCTCTTGACTTTTATGGTCTTGCTAGTTTTTATACTGTATGGCTAAATGATATCAACAAGTTACGTTTTTAAATTTTTTTTTTTTTTTTCTTCTTTGAAATCTTCATAGAACCAGAAATTTGCCACAAATATTCGTATGGTGTGCGGGCCATTGTTCAGTGCATTCCTGCTTGGCTTCGCTTCATCCAGTGCCTGCGCCGATACCGAGACACAAAAAGGGCCTTTCCTCATTTAGTTAATGCTGGCAAATACTCCACAACTTTCTTCATGGTGACATTTGCAGCCCTTCACAGCACTCACAAAGGTATTGTATGGTTGTTAAGTGATTTTTTAAAACTAGATTTTCACTTAGGAATCTGTTTCTTACTCTGGTTACCTTTCCATTTCTTACGTATTTTTTTTTTCCCCCATTGATGTTCTAATCCCCTCAGTCATACTTGTTTGCTCCTGAACACAATTTTAGTCTCAGTCCAATAATTACTAACAAGTACCATCAAAAAGAAGCAAAGTTACCCAGAATGGGAAGATCTGTGATAATGTTTGAAATCCTCAATCATATGCTTCATGGGCTCTATCTGGGGGCACCTTGAGTTTTCATTTGCTTTTTTAGATGTCCTTGTTCATTAAGGAGGTTCGGAAATGCTAGGTGAAAAGGATCCCTTCTGGCAATCATGTATATTTTTAATCACTTTCCTTCACCAAGTAGTAGGGATTGTTTCCAGCCCATTTAGCTGCAAATTGAGTTCTCTCATCCTTCTAGTTTCTTATCTCCATGGCAACCTGTTATTACTTGAAATTGCTCTTCTGTTAGGAGGAGAAAAAAGCTTTTAGGTTCTGAGCCACACACAGTCACTCCTTTTGAATTTTTAACCTTTTTCCAAGAAATGTCAATCAGAGCTCTATCTAGCTTCCTTTTACTAAAATGAATTTGTCTGTTTAACATCAGCCCACACTTTAGAAGCTACACTTTTTCATCTGTAGGTGGTAGAGAATTGTTACTAATAGATATTATTAAAGTTATTTTTAAATACTTTGGTGAAAATTTTTCAGTGTTTTTTTTTGGAAGGCCTCTCTGTGGGATAAAGATGAGGCAGTCTGCTTCCATAAAGATTTTCAACTTTGAAAATCTATGAGACAGTTTTACTCTGTCCTGTAGGGTCACTATGAGTAAGAATTGACTCAATGGCAGTGGGTTTTACTCTGTTCCCCTAACTTTCCTGATGAGGAAAACTTCTCTCATTATGGTCTTAAGAGGAGCATAATGCTGTGTGTTTAAATACATATTTGAGCATGTGTCATATAGCCTGAAAGTTACATAAGCATTTTCATTTTTTTTTTAATTCCCTTCACCCAAATCAGTACTTGTCTCTACCTATCTAGCAGTGTTCCCTCTCCTCCCCTTCCACCAATGGTAACCAACAAAGAAAGTTTCCTTCCATATATAAACCTTTCCTTGACTTTTTACAATAATGAACTAATCCGATGTTTGTCCTTCTGTGACTGACTGACTTCACTCAGTATAATGTCCTCCAAGTTCATCCACGTTATGCAGTGTTTTGTAGATTCTACATTATTCTTTAGTGTTGCATACTATTCCATTGTGTGTATGTACCGTAGGTTGGTTATCCATTCTTCTGTTGATGGACACCTAGGTTGTTTCCATCTTTTTGCTATTGTAAATAGTTCTGGGATTAACATGGGTATGCATGTATCTGTCTTGTCCTGACTCTCATTTCTTTAGGATATATATCTAGTAACGGGATTGCTAGATCAAAATGGTCTATCTAATTCCAACTTTTTAAGGAATCGCCATACTGCTTTCCACAGTAGTTTTATCATTTTACAGTATGCAACAGCAATGAATGAGAGTCCCAATCTCTCCACATGCTCACTACCATTTGTTATTTTCCATCTTGTTGAACTTTGTTATTACTGTTGTTTTGATTTGCATCTCTCTAATGGCTAATGATCGTGAGCATTTCTTCATGTGTTTGTTAGCCACCTGAATATCCTCTTTGGTGAAGTGTCTATTCATGTCTTCTGCCCATTTTTAAATTGGATTATCATTTTGTTGTTGAGGTGCTGGAGTTTTCTATAAATTTTAGAGATAAGTCCATTGTCAGATATGTCATTGCCAAATATTTTTTCACAATCTGTAGGTTCTCTTTTTCACTCTTTTGGAGAAATCTTTGGAAGCAAATAAAATTTTAATTTTCAGAAGGTCCTGGTTTATCTTCTGCTGTTTATGCATTTTGGGTAATACTTGACAGTCTACTTACGCTATGAATTAGGGCCCCTAAATTTGCCCCCACTTTTTCCTTGAGAAATTGTATAGTTTTCAGTTTCACATTTAAGTCTTTGATCCATCTGGAGTTAGTTTTTGTGTATGGTGTGAGGCACGGATCTTGTTTCATTTTTCTGCAAATGGATATCCAGTTTTACCAGAACCATTTGTTAAAGAAGACTGTCTCTTCCCCATTTAATGGATTTCAGCCCTTTGTCAAAAATCAGCTGACCATAGGTCAGTGGATCTATTTCTGGGCTCTCAATTCTATTCCACTGGTCTATGTATCCATCATTGTTCCAATACCAGGCTGTTTTGACTACTGTGGTTATATAGTAGGTTTTGAGATCCAGGAATGTGAGACCTCCTACTTTGGTCTTCTTCTTCAATGGTGAAAGGTGACTGCCGTGTAGTCGATTTGACTCATAGCAACCCCTCCTTGGGTTTCTGAGACAGTATCTCTATGGAAGTAGGTTGCCCAATCTTTCTTCCAAGGAGTGACTGGTGGGTCTGAACCTCCAGCCTTCTAGTTAGCAGTCAGATGCCTTAAGACTATGCTACCAGACCTCCTTCAGTAATGGTTTGCTTATCCAAGGTCTCTTTCCTTTCCATTAAATTAATGATTGGTTTTTCCATATCCTTAAAGAATGTTGATGGGATCTGGATTGGGATTGCATTGAATGTTGTATAGATTGCTTTCAGTAGTAAGCCTTTTCATTCTTGAACAGACTATGCCAATAGGACAAACTGACTTGATGGCAGTGGGTTTTGGGGTGAGTATTTTAGAAGGCTTGTTGTTGTTGTTGTTATGTGCCGTTGAGTCAAACCCGACTCATAGCGACCCCTCCTTGGGTTTCCGAGGCAGTATCACTACGGAAGTAGGATTGCCCAACCTTCCTTCTGAGGAGTGGCTGGTGGGTTTGAACCGCCAGCCGTCTGGTTAGCAGGCAAGTGTCTTAGCCACTATGCTACCAGAGCTCCCTTTAGAAGGCTTAGCTAATGCAATAAAACTACTACTTATCTAAAGTGTATCTGAAGCTCATAAAAGATAAATACATTGTTTTAATAACCTTGAAAGTTGGTCCAGCAGAACACACTATAATCTACTTTCACTTTTTACAGTAGATTCTGCAGTTACAATAATATTGGTAAATGTAGCCAATAATTTCACCACCATGTAGGCACTCTTGTTAAATGATATAATTTAACTAAGTGCCTCAGCAAAGGAAACATATCCCTAAAAGCTCCCATAATTTTACCTCTTGCTAAGGAATGCTGTCATTCAGTACAGGCATGCGTTATGATTCAGAAGGCTATCACTAGAGAATTTATAAATCAGTCCACTGATATGGTACAAGTACCCTGTGATTCCTTTTTCTGAATTATCAAGAACTCTGTACTTTTCTTCAATCCTGGGT